TTAGTATCGAGATAATTTTTTTTTTGGGTGCGAGGTGCTGAAATAATCACAGGAGCATACAGAGAAAAGGGTTTGAAAACACTCAGTCACAGATAACAACAGGAGACTACTTACAAAGTCTGTAATTTCCTTTACCAAACTAGGACTGATGTAGGACACACATTCCTCCCTATGAATTTTGTCTCAACTGCTGAAAAGCAAAGAAGACATCCAATCATCCAGCAATATAAGACATATTTATCATTGTGCAATTAGCTAGCTACTTGTTTTCTGCTCTTTTCCTAACTGAAGGTTCATGCCAAAAGATCCCTAAGTCCTGGAACATCTACAGGTTTCCAAACATATGTGATCAGTGTGAGGAGCCTAAATATCACATTGAATGTTATCACCACACATAAAAAATGAACCAAAAGATATATATTGTGTAAAAATTTTAACAAACAAACAACTGGAGAGATCTCAAAACTGGAAGTGCTATAAATTATTTTCAGGCTGAATGGAAATAAAGCCAGCATGAATGTGTAGATTTCATGAACAATTGGGCTCAGAAATAATTGGAAGCATGAGTCTTAATTGTGCTTCATATACTTCTACAGAATGGCAGATTAGCTGCCTTTTGGTCTTCAAAATGCCCATAATAATTGCAGTGCTTGAAAAGAAACACTTTCTTAAATGACACTGCTCTTGGAAATGTCTTGCTCTCTAGTACTGTGGTATATGAGACAGTATGGCCCTGTTCTGTCTGCCTTCAACCAGGGCAGGAAACAGAATCTATGGGATTGCACAGGCATGGCTGGGAAAGAGTTCACCCCTTCAAATCTGTTAGAAATGCAACTGGCAAACCTGGATTGTTTACACCTACAATTATTTTTTTATGAGACATTCTGTCTTTTACAGGATGTTCCAAGTTTTTACTCCAGACTGTGAGGCAGCTTTGCAAATCAGATGGGATCACCCGGTTTCTCCCACCTTGATGCAGCAGGATGACTCCAGGGTGTAATCTGAATGTCAGTCTGACACCTGCTGTTGGCATCTGAAATCTTTTCACTGTCTTCAGGTGGATCATTCAATTGATCATTTCCTGATGTTGATAGCATCATTCTACTACTTCTCAGAAAAAAAAGAAATTAAATTCTTCAGTGCTGAAGCCATTATACAAGGGCCAGAGAAGTTGCCAGGAAGGATATGCAATACTTGAGACTATAAATACCCTGCCTTATGACAGTGTACACGGCTTGGCAACAACTCATATTGACACCTGCCTTATCTGCAGGAGATGACAGGATTTAGGCTGAGAAGGAGGACAAGGGCAGCAGACAGGCAGGGAAACAGGAATATGTCAGTACAGCTTGTGAGGTGTCATGATAATACAGACCTGCAAGAGGTGGAGTCAAAAGCACATCAAAAGTTACTTTGTGCATTTAATGGTTAATCTGATGCATAAAGGCTGCAGTTTTGAGGATATTTTGCCTCCACAGTCCTTTCTGTGTCAATGTCTTGCTGATCAGTGTCTTCTGAAGCTCTTAGTTCCTACCTCCCTGCTCTGTTACTGTCAGTTAAATACAAGCTCTGAATGCTGCAACATCCCCTGCAGCCATCTAACCCACACACAATCCAGCCCACTACTCGTCAGCATTTCTGTCATGCCAGGAACTACAACGACTTGAGCAGCCTTTAGAGAAAAAGTATCTTCAACAAAGCCACACACATCCCATTCTTTTGGCAGACAAATCTGTTATTCTTTGAAAGACTTTTAAAATGACTTCAAAGATCTTCTACTCTGGCAAAAGATCACGTAGCCTCTTTCCATCTCCACGCACCTGCTGCATGTGTGATATGCAACGTTGCAGTGCTACTGCACTGCTACAACTACCTTTAAGGAGATTGTATGAGGTGGGAGCCAGTCTCTTCTACTGTGCCTGCAGTGAGAGTACTAAAGGAAACAGTCTTAAGCTGAGACAGGGGAGATTCAGATTAGGTATTAGAACAAAATTTTCATTGTTAAGATGGTCAGACTTTGGAACAGGCTGGCCAGGGACATGGGGGATTCACCATCCCTGGAGGTGTTTAAGGGGCGTCTGGATCTGGTGCTGGGTGATGTGGTTTTGTGGTTTAGGGGTTTCAGTGGTAGTGCTGGGCTGACAGGTGGACTTGATGATTTTAAAGGTCTCTTCCTACCCTCATGATTCTATGATTCTGCTGGAGTGTGATCCTAACTAGGGCACCTACGTTATGATCATTTGCACGTGCCCCTAAAGTGAGGTTACGAGGACCTGCAAACATAGCCAGGACTGCTTGGGAGCTGTCAGGGCATGAAGTGCACCTGAGAGTTGGGGGAATGCCACTGAGATCACACAGGAAACCCATCTGCATCTGCTTCTGTTGTTGCTGTTTAAATTGGGCACCTCCTCAGCTGTGCCAATGTGCTTGTATTGGCAGGCAAGGAGGAATAAAAGACAATAAAAACTCAGCTACTGAAATAGCAAAAATCCCCTTTCTTCCCCCTTCACTAATTCAGGTTGCAAGACAGTAAAACAATTTCTCACACTGGCACAACATGGAAAATAGTAAACAGCCACAAGTGGATACGGATGACTTGCCATAGGGGGCTGAACTTCTTCAAGCATCCCTGCCACTGGGAGAGATGCCAGTGACACCTGCATCCCTTCTGAACTGTCGAGGGAGGGTAAGGGTCAACAGGAAAGGATGAAAAACGTGCCTTCTTACAATGCCAGCAAACTCTCCATGGTGAGGTTTTGCCTGGAAACTGCAGAGAATAGTCTCTGGAAATTCTGGGAGTTAATTGTTTGGGATCTCTGCTGTGGTGGTCCAGTCCTCTCTGCAACGGGACACGGACCCTTGGGATTAGAAACACCCAACTATTGACAGGCCAGACTGACACTGTGATAGTGTCTATACCTAGGCATTACTGTAGCTGGAGGAGCAGGAGCAGCAGCCTGCCTGGGCAATCATGTTCTACCTCCTGACTAGGGAACAAGGAATGGGAAACCATGTATTTTGCTGTTTGAACCTAGTCTTGGAAGCACTAATCCACCTGAGTTTAGTTTGTACCTTCCTTACCTCGAACCAGGTCCAGTCTCCTAAGCACCAAAGCAGGAATTATACAGGAGCCTTGGCATGTATTAACACATTGATTACATTAACACTACATTAACCTGTAGTGCTGCTAATTAAAAAACACAAATCAAAACAAAAAAAGCTCTGCCTGCTGCCGTCATTCATTCTTCTTTTCTTTAAACATTAACCTGTAGTGCTGCTAATTAAAAAACACAAAACAAAACAAAAAAAAGCTCTGCCTGCTGCCATCATTCATTCTTCTTTTCTTTACACAACCTGGGCTCACCGTATGTGTCAGCTCATGGTAGGAAAGTGGGGTGGAGGAGGTGGTAGCAGTATTCCAGCAGAATGCTACAGGCAGGCAGGCATGGAAGGAGCTCATCATTTTTGCAGCTAAGAGGCCTGTGGATATCTGGCAGCAGCCAAAGAGGCAAGGTTCATGCTTCAAATACTGTGTCAGAAACAAGACAGTGGGGGTAGTAGCATAAGAAACTGTAATGCTTAAGAGGTCATAGATCCAAAAATATATATTTTTTTGTAGAGGAGGTGAATAGTGATGGAATAAAAGTTATCTTTCTAGAAGTTTTAGCTGATAGGGAATTAGACTCAATACACAGGTAACTATAGGAAATTTTATGGCCTTTCTTATGCAGACTTGATGGTCTAACTTTTCCCTCCTGGGTCTTAGAAAAGATATGAAATTCTCAATTATTTTTTTTCCTTCCTGCCAGAACAAAGAACCCAGGTCCAGGTTCAACGGTGGAAGTAAACCTATGTGTATCTAGTGAGTAAGAAATGCAGATTTCTGCTGAGCCATGAGGAAAAATTGGCAGAAAAGGAAGGAAGAGGTCAGCAGGTATTCTGTGTCCATCATAAAAGGATGAAGCTACAGTAAGGAAAAGAGAGCAGAGGAGAAAAGGAATACAGTGCATTTTATTGAGACATATATTAATATCCAGATAAGATTAGTTGACATTGCTATGTATATTAAAAACACACAGCTTACTTTATTCTTTTACTAATATAGTCATTTTTTGTTTATGTTCTTTAAAGGATGTGTTTATTGTTTACATGTAAACAGTAAACTGTAAAGACTGCAAATCATATCCATCTCAGTAGTAATGGTATCTGTGTTAGTGAAGTCACCTCTGACAATTTAGAGATCTGGTTGGTGTCAAGAAAAAACACGATGCATTTATTTGACAAGTGACACCAATTTCAAAGTGGTCATGTTTCTTCTGAAGGCCATGGAATACAGTAGTCCATGACACACAGGAGTGCAGCAGTGTGGTATTGTACCAGCAAAATAACTATTATTGGACTCACAGTGTTGCTCTCACTGCACGCATTTCAGATTTTTTAATCTGAAAATTAAATTTTAATTTTGATCTCCCAGATCCCCCACACACTTGTAGAGTGCTTGAAATATGAGGTTTATGCAGTAATCCACCCCTGTAGGATGGAGGGCGACCAATCACGGTCCTGCCGCAGTGAAAATGATCCTTTCACTGAAACCAGGCATCACTACCAGAAGCAAGCCATAGAATTTCCAGGGCTGCCGGGCCCCTTCCTTCGCTCTCATCCAATAAGCATCTTTCTGTGCTTATATTTATGAATAGGCAGCTCGTGTGCTGTGTTTCTATAATGTGGCTGTTAACTCATGACAAAAACCCTTGATGGCAAAGTCCAACACGCAAAAATGCTGCAACTTGTGGATTTTAATGTAGTCCTGAGAAAGGGATCTTCAGTGTAGTACAGGCTCAGCAACACCGAGGCTCCCTGCACAAGGAGTTTGCTAAGCCGTCCCCAGCCATGGCGTTATCTCACAACAGGTGCCGAGACAGCCGCCGTCCCCATGGAGATAAGGTGACGGAGCCAGGGAGAGGCAGATGAGTTCTGGACCAAAGGTCAGCCTCTTGCAGGTCTCGAAGTGATCCAGCTTTTCTGGAAAGGAATTGGGCAATCCCTTTCCCAGGAGGCCAGCACCGACCTGACGATGACAATTCGTACCCTATTTGTACCACAAACGCGTTTTAACGAAGGCAGAGAATTCCCGCGGGGCAAAGGCTGAGGGTGCAGCTGCGGAAGGCACGGTGTGCTGGGGAGGGCGGGCGCTGTGCCGCCTCAGGTGGTACCTCGGCGGCGGGGCCGCCCAGGCCGGTGCAGCCGCCGCGGCCGCCGGCAGATGGCCCCCGCCGCAGCGCCGACCGGCGGGATCGGCCGAAGGAGGGGCCGGCGTCGCCGCGCTAAATCTCCGGGCCCGCTGCCCTCCTCCTCCTCCTCCCTCGCCGCGATGGCTTCCTAAGTGCGATGCTCCCGGCCGCCACCGCCTCCCCGCTCTGTCGCCGGGTGCTCGGCGGGCGCGGGCGAGCGGGCGGCTCCCGCGCGGTTCGGGGGCCGGGCCGGGGCGCGGGCGCCAGCCCTCCCGGGGCGGGGGCAGCTGCCGCCTC